GGCACATAACTAATCAGCTTGAGGAATGTGGTCTAGAATTGTTATCTGGGTTCCTGCTATACATCCTCCTTGCATTTGATGCTCGGCACGCCTTCTTGTTCTTCTCTCTCTGATTTATAACACTCGGATGGAAGTAATTTATATGAAAACAGAATAAAGCCACGGGCAAAGAATGATAATCTGGGCAGTCTGCTTGCAAGTCTGTGCAGAACCCAAAACAGAGACTGGACTGGGAGGATGGCTCAGTGGGTAAAAACACTTTCTGTATTATTTCGTTTAAATCCCCAGGACCCACAAAAAACCCATACATATCCACATGTCTGTATGTGCCTATAACCCTAGCAATGGAGGGCAGAGGTCGGTGGATCCTAGGAGCCAGCCTAGCCAAAACGGTGAGCTTAAGATACAGTGAGAGATCCTCCTCGGGCCTTGACACATACTGGGGTACAGTACAAATACTGCAAATACAAACGCACACATCACATCAGAAAAAAAATGAAGACAGTAACAGCCAGAAAGATACTAATTGCAGGTGCTCAGGAAATGGAATTGGATAACATTCCTCTTCAGTTATATGAAATGCCTTACATACTTATTTCCCTCATTCCTCCATTTCTAACAATGAATACTTTCTGTACAGTCACCAAATTCATCTTCTTTTCTCAAATGTTTGCCTGTTGTCAAGCTGGTGAAAAAAAATTACAAAGACATTAGAGTCTTTAAAATTTAATATGCTCTTCAGCTCCATTCTGAGCAAACATCACAACATTCAGAGTTTGACTTATCTTTGAACATACGTACTGTTCTCACAGAAATTCAAACATGATTGGACATGTGCTGTGGTTTCATGTGTCCTTCAAAAGCTCATGTATTGGAAAATGAATTTATTGTAATATATTCTGTGATATTTAGAGGTGGCACCCCCATTATGGGACCAGAGTCTTTATAAGATGTCAAAGAGAGACACAAGCATACACGTTTGCCCTCCTTTGCCATGCCATGCCTTCTGCCATTTATGATGAAGCGAGGCCTTTACAAGATATAGTCCCCTGATTTTAGACTTTCCAGGCCCCAGGACTGGCTTTTTGTTTTGTTTTTTAAATAGTTTCCTATCTGTAGTAGTATGTTATAGCAGCAGAAAGTGAAGTAAGGCAAGGCCACTTATCATTTACGTTGAAAACTGTTCAGGAAAATTGTGTATAGTGAACGGTGACAGCATCAGTACCACATCTACAATAGTTTAAAGCAATGTTATCATGGTGTTGAAAGAGAAAATTAAAGAGATAGTGGCAAGGAAGAGATAAAAATACATTTGGTAACTGCCAATGGCAACTTTGGAAGACTTTATATCAAGCTCTTGAATGGAAGGGTTAGCAACCTGTAAGCAGGCCTGGTCTTTCGAAGCCATAGTCTGGGGGTTGGAAAGACAACACTTCAGACTGGCAGTAGAAAAATCGGGAAACTTCAACCACGTCGAAGACTGTGAGAAGTGGTAGCACACAAAGAATGTGATCTAGACCTCAATAAAGGTGGAACCTCTGTAAAAAGCTATCTCTGTATTTATCTGATAGAATTTTTTTTTAAAAAAATGAAGTCATGAAGTAATCAAAAACAATGATTATTCATTTTTTTTGGTAACACTGCAGCAGGGGAGTGTTTTCCTTCTTCTTCTTTTTTTTTTTTTTCCTGTTTGTTTCTTGGTGCTGAGGAATCAATCCTAGAGCATGGTGACAAGTTCTACTTCAGACTGAGAAGCACTTTCTAGAGAAAAAAAATACAGATAAAATATCCATGTGGCTCATAAAATGGGTAGTTCATTTTGATTCTGTTAAAATTTTAATTACATAAACATGGCTATGCTTAATTAGGAGGAAATATTTGTAGCACATTATAACAAATGTTAATCTCCCTAACATAGTTCTAAACTATTGCCATTGAGTAAGAAAATAGACCTTAGGTAGAAAAATCAATCAATAAATATGAACAGTTCAGAGAAAAAGAAAAATAATGACTTACAAAGATAGTTGACATGATTTCTAATCAAACAAACAAGGACTACAGCAGGACAAGTTTCTGCAGTGGCATATTATTTATGATTTATTAAAGCTTGCCTGAGGATTCAGAAAGTAAAGTCAACCTCAAGCCATAGAAGCCAGAAGCTTTAATCCCAGCAGCCAGAAGCTAGGATATGGTGGCACACACCTTTAATCCTAGGACTCAGGATTAAGAGGTAGATGGATATCTGTGAGTCCAAGGCCACTCAGGTCTAACAAGATTGATTCAGTCCTAAAGAGAAACAGCTCACTCAAAGATGATCTCAGTACCTCGGATCACATTTAATGTCTTTAATCCCATCATTAGGGAGGTATGTAAAACAGGATCAAGGCATTCATTCTCCAGCCACCCTGAGAAAAGGAATGCCCTAGCCCTTCTGGAAGTAAGAGCTCTCTGGTAGCTTGGCTGCTTTTCTTCCCTGATCTTCAGGTTGAACCCCAATATCTGTCTCTGAGTCTCTTATTTGTCATGTAACAGGTTTCATTCATTTACTAACAAATTGAAAATATGACACATTCAATGTTGATGAAAGCTAAAGAGACCAGAACACTCTTACACAACCAGTGGGCCCAGAGGCGGAAGCAGGGAGGGTTTGTAATGCCTACCAAGCCAAGTGATGAGTGGACCCTTTGCTGATACAGAAAGCTAGACAAAATAAGCAAGTAATACTTCTAAATGTCCTGGAATTATAAACTGTATCTTAAATTATTGATGTCCAAACTTTTTAATATATAAGCTAATTTTTTATATACATGTTTAGCTATTTATCAATGATAAGCTCCAAACCTGAAATTTAATCCTTGACATATCCCCCAATAGTTAAAAAAAACAAAAAACAAAAACTGATCTGAATTTATTGTCATTAGATTTTACCTGAAATGAGAATAGGCGATTAATTTTCTTTATTCTGTTCAGGTTGAAATTTGCATACTTATACATTTCATTGTGTTTGCATTTTGGACACCCCCCTCCAAGCATGGAGGGAGGTGGAAAAGGCACCCCTGACTATTCCACTGTTATGTGTTGTTTTTGCTGTTTTGGCTTTTTGTTCTTTTTGACGGGTCCCCCAACACCCAGCTCCCAAGTAAATCACACCCGGAAGCTTATTGTTAGTTATAAGTGCCCAGCCTTAGCTTGACTTGTTTTTAGCCAGCTTTTCTTTTCTTAAATTAACCCATCTACCTTTTCCCTCTGGGCTTTTATATTTCTTACTTCTGTATATCTTACTTTCCTTCTTACTCTGTGGCTGGCTGGGTAGCCCCTTGAAGTTCTTCTCTCCTTGTTCTCTTGCTCCTCCTCTTCCTCATTTCTCCATCTATTTATAATCTCTGCCTGCCAGCAATGCCTATCCTTGCTCCTGCCTCACTATTGGCTGGTTGCTCAGCTCTTTATTAGACCATCAGGTGTTGTAGACAGGCAAAGAACAACAGCTTCACAGAGTTAAACAAATGCAGCACAAACAAAAGTCACGCAACCTTAAAGTAATATTATGCCACATTCCACTAGGCCTCAGGGTTCTGGATTCAGGATAGTGAACCCAGATAACCTTTCCCTGAAGAATGGCAAGCACAGGTGCTAATGAGGACTTGTTCAATGAGTGGTCTCTGATTCATCAGACTTAGCATCAATTATTTGCCTGAGAGGGTTATAAAAGAAAGTCTTGGCTATATTCCTTGTGACCCTGGGCCAGAGAGCACACTACTGAATACCTCCACCTGCCTTTACCGGTTCTGTGTGTAGTCTTTCTTCCTTGGTTATAAAGGCCACCTGTTGTAAATTCTTAGGCTTACCTGGCTCAGCAGTAAATTCTTAGGATTATCAGTAGCATTACCTAAAAGCAGCTGCTGGTTTCCATTCCACATTCATGCACTTTGGGAGCAGAAAACTAAAGCCAAATCAGCCGGCCCTACCTGAGTGCTCTGCACATTCTGTGACATTATTCGGGCTGCTCAGGTCCTACTTCCTGATTCTTTGGAAACAGAAAAGTTGCCAGATGACCTGTACGTTATCTTTACTGTTTACCAGGATCGTAACAGTACGTAAAGTTACAAATAACTCTTAAAAGACCTAAAAAAGTAAACTCCCGGCGGGCAGCAGGGTTTTTGTGCCTATTTCGTCTGAGGCTATATTCCCAGCGTCTAAATGGTTAACTATTTATCAAAAAAGCATAATGATTAGTGTTAGAATCTTGGCTATGACAGCTCCAGGAAAGCCTGTTTCATAAAGAAACGCTAGATAGAGAGGTAAGGCAGATACTGTGAGTTACAGAAGTAAGGCAGAGAGAGGGTAATTCCAAAATGGCAATATTCAGAAACATTTTAGTTCGGCAGATAAACTATTCAAGGATAGGGAGAAACTGTCACTGTCCCCAGCTTAACTTCCACACAAGAAAGAAAAGCAATATTTTAAATAAAACGGACTCAGTGAACACTGCATTACAAAGACAATAAATGCATTCTATACCTATTCTTCCTCAAATGCTTCAGAGGAAAGGTACAGAAAGTTCCTCCACACCGGAAACAGGATTTACATAGAGTGACCTGGAAGTCTGTTTGCACAAGGTCTGGACCCCTAAGCATCCCCAGCGCAAAGTTGCAATGAGTGACTATGAAGGTGCGGCGGTAACCCACCTCGAGGGCCTGGGGCGAGTTGGGGGTGGGGTGGGGGAATGAAGGTTGGGAGGACTCAGGGTTGTTAGAGGATGTCAGCGGGGATAAGATGCAGGGCTGAGAGAGGAGCCGACTTGGGGGAAAGAGAATTCAGCCCAGGTGCTGCCTCTGGAGACCAGCGGCGGTGCAGAAAATGAGGGTGGGGGAATTGGAGAGATGAAAAGCCTACAGGATCTAAGTGGTCGCTCCGATCTGGAGGCATCTGGCTGGGTCCCCAGAGTGGAGAACGCCGGGCCGGGGCAAGTCAGAAGCAGGCCAGACCGGCCAAGTTCCTACCGGTCCGCGCGCATCCGGACGCAGATCCTGGAAGTCCGGGCCATAAATGGCCTCCAGGGCCTGCAGCTCGTGATCCTGTCGCTGCGAATAGCTTTCCTGCGGCTCAGCCCGGCCGCGTCCAGAGGCTCCGCAGCCCCCAGCCATGGCGGCCGGGGCAGGCGCAGCGGCCTAGGCGAGGTAGCGGCGCTCTGGAGGGCTATGGAGGGCTACGGATCTAAGCCGGCGTGGCGGCCGCGCTGGGGGCGTGGCCCTGCGCCGGGGAGGCGCTCTGAAGGCAGGACCTCCAGCGAGGGATCAGGCTGGGGGCGGAGCCTCGAACAGAAGACCGGCCCAGGGGCGTGGCTCTGCGCGGGCTGGTATGGGAGGCTGGGGCGGAGCCTAGAGCAGGAGGCGGGTCTGGGAGCCCGGGATCTCCCTACTGACCCGTTTGGCCCACTCGGGAGAAGGCCAATGGGCGGGGCTTCGCCCCAAGTTCGCAAGGTCAGAAGACTCCTATGAGAACACAGTTGGGAAATCCTTTACTCTAATCCTGAAGGATGGAATTGAATCAGGACTTGCAGGAACACGTGGGAAAGCCAGTCACTCAGGCTGGAGTGACGAAGACTTTAGTTTTCACAAAACAAGTCTGTAGCAGACAAAGAACTCCTTCACCCTGCCTGGGGACGATTTTAAAGAGCAGACCCGATGAGTTCTTAAGTCACTTATCTTACCTAACCTTCCCAGAATGAGACTACTGGAAGTAAACACTGTAAACCCTTTTTTTTTTTTTCTACAGTAGTATCCTTCAGTCATCCTTCTAACCATTTAATATTTCATATTTTTATTTAATTTATTATTTCATGCAAACTCTCTGGCCTCTCTGAAATTTTCTCTTTGCATTTTCAACTGAAAAAAATTGTGTTATTTTTATGAGCTACACCCATGAAGAAAATTATTCGATCAGGTCATTTAGTGTAAATTTAATGTAACCTGAACAGTTCATTTAAAGAAATTTGAGCGTTCTTTCTGTTATATCCTATCTTACAGGCATAGGTATGTATATGTGTCCTTGTGTTTATAAGTATATTTTGAGTCAGGGTATTTATTACTTGTAGTCTTCCTGCTTCATTCTTCCTAGTGCTAAGACCATGAGACTGAGCCACCATTACTATCTGACCATGGTTTTTTTTTTTTTTTTTTTTCCAAGCGTATAAGCGACCTATTCATTCAGACGTTAATTTGTTGTCTACATGCTGCAGCTTGGCTCTGGTAAATTGCACTGTATCACTTCAAGTTTGGTTTAGGTGGCATGTCTCTGTCCAACTTGTTTGCGACTATGTTCTTCACTCAGTAATGATTACTTAGGCATCTCGCTGGTATTTATTCCCTCTCTTCAGACCAGGCAACACAAAGGCCTCTTACAAACCATCTTCTCCCTCCCTCCACTGGAGACCTGTTTCATTTCCAGTGCCCGTTGATTGGGTACACAGCAGCACTCAACAGTGAAGATCTGGACCTTCCCGCCACGCTTCAGCTCTCACATTCAAATTGTGATCATTTCCTCAGTTTCCCCTTAAGCTGCATTCCGTTTCTGCCACCTCTCCACTGGCTCTCCACTCAGCCAGTCTTCATCCTTGCCCCATGTGGAGCAGCTCATCCTATTGCATCCAAAGTAAAGTCCTTGTATCACAGTATGGTCATATCATGCCAATCTCTAAAATTCCTCCACTTTCCAACTGGTCTTTTTCCATTAAAAAAGAAATACCAGTTATGAAATTTTCTCAACACAAAAGCAGAAGACGCATTATAATAACCCTGTGTATTTCTCACCCACGTCAAACAACTTCAAATGTCTCACCAATATTGTTTAATTTTTGCCTCTCCTAGGAATATTTCAAGTGTCAAGTATCATGGTTTTTCTGTAAATACTCATATATGTGTAACAGGAAAGGTTCTTTGAAGCAAATATAAGATAATCCTTATCCCTTAAAGTGTCACACTTTCTAGTTGGCAAGATGGCTTAATAGGGAAAGGCCGACTCTGCCCTCTGTCCCCCAGCTGGCGCCTGAGTCTGGGCACCGCTCTGCCCCACAAACTCCCCCCATCAACCCCTGCTTGCTTCTGCCTGAGCACCCCCAACCTCCCCTTGGACAAGAGCTTACCTGCCCAGACCAGAAGGCCCACCCTGAGTCCAGACACACCTCACCCTTGACCATCCACTGACCTCTGCCCTGCTGCTGCCTGCCTCCTGAGAGAGGGAGAAACTCAGCCTGCACCCACTGGAAGAAGGGATGGGAAGACAGAGTAAGAACACAGTCAACAACAGAAAGACCAATATAACACCATCAGAATCTAGGGACTCCACACCAGCAAGAACTGAAAAGCCCAACGTAGAGGATGAAGAAGAGATGGACCATAAAAATTATCTTATGAAGATGATAGAGA